GTGTGTGTGTGTGTGTGTGTGTGTGTGTGTGTGTGTGTGTGTGTGTGTGTGTGTGTGTGTGTGTGTGTTAAATTTCCACCACAACAGCCCCTATTCCGCCCAGATGAGTAGATTCGAGTTGAGACAGCCCAACAATTAAACAATTTCATCTCTTTAGCAAGCAACATGAATCATAACACGACCATTCAGAACTGTGCTTAGTTGGGGATTCTTTGGGGCAGCATCTCCTCTTTTACTATGCCTCGCATGTACAAGGTTGCCCACGTTGATTGTGATTGAGCGGCGGCTGCCCACACCCCCATGTGCCTTAATGGCCCACTTGCACGGTATGACAGGAGGCAGAGTAAAGGGAAAGGTATGCTCCTGTGCATTTCACTTCAGATCTCCTTACTCCAGTTCAATTCACTTCAGATCTTCTTACTCCAGTTCAATTCACTTCAGATCTTCAACTCATTCTTTGTCTGTTCGCTTAATTATGCTCATTCATATGTATTTGCTTCTAGCACATAAGGGGAGGGTGGGGGGAAAGGGATAGGAGCTGAAGTTCTATAGGTGTGTGGGGTGGGGGAAGTGGAGTGCAAAGGGCAGGGGAGAAATATGTAAAGGCAGGAGAGTGACATATGATAAACTTCGCGGAGTTCTAAATGCTCACTGCTGAAACAGACTACTCTAGAATGGCACAAGAGGTCAGGTACTGTTTGGGTTGCATAAGATTTTGAGTTGAGCAGCAGCTATTGCCTACGGTAAGTGGTCACCCCTACAGACCAGACAGGACTGGTTCGGGTGTGGACTGTGGAAGCTCCCTATCCAATTTTTGCAGTCTCAGAAGCTGCGCCGAATGGCTCGCCGCAGATAGATGTCACAGGCTACGTGGCTCCTACATGCTAGGAACACAGAGGTACATCAACCGCAATTATAGAGGCATTGCCATTCCATTCCGTCTACAAATTGGACATGACATGTCAGGGTGCCGTACATGAGTACACATGTCAGGGTGCCGTACATGAGTACAGTATTGACTGTCGTTGTACGTATGGAAGCAAAAACTCGCATCGACTATCCCCTCATAATCCTCACAGCACAGGGCATGGCAACCACATGCTAGTCGAATTTCCGGCGGGTCATCACAAAGCGGCATGGGGCATCTTTCTTGGGTTTCCTCAGCATGTATTCCTTCTCTATGGGCAGACGAGGACGGGGAGGGTAGGTCCAAAGCAAGGGTGTGCAGCTTCCTGCAGGATTTGGGCTGCAACAGCTCGCCCTGGTGGTGATAAACTATCAGCACAGCGCTCCACGGGCGGTTCATATGGAAGCCGACTTCCTCCTCAGGCTGCTGTGTCTGTCATTCGTCTGGCAAGGATGAAGGACGCCAGTCCGCGGTTGCTGTAGGTATAATATGACCGACATTGCATGTAGGACATGCTAGGAGAGGATGTGGCAGATGATGGCACCGGGGATAGTCCACACAGTAATTACAGAAACTTTCTATGACAGCTTCCTGGAAACATTGATGACATATGGCATGTTGCTGACATGTCATCAGTATAGAAGGCCGACGTGCGCACCAGTTCACGCCTGTGCACTGCACAGCCTTTTGGAGAAAACTGCAAACAAGCCTGGGCCGTTCAGCAGAGGGGTGGTAAAGGCTTGGCAGCATTTTTCGTGGGACTCTTCTAAAATTGGCTGCCAGCCTACGGGGTTCAAATGTAGGGCGGCCGCCGATGTGAAAACATAGGCAGGTCGATCCATTGGAACGACTTTGCTTCCTGGGACTGGTCGTGGGATAAACCCTGGGTATTACAGGGTCTGCTCCCCCCCCCTCATGCTCCCATCAGAAGGCTGCGGTTATGTGGTACAAGCCTGCAGAGTCTGGATCTGCTCCATCATCTGGGATGATCAGGAACAAACCCTGCATCCGCTCCAGACTGAGACAGTACATCAGCTTGAAGGCAGACTGGGACAGAAGAAGGGGTCAAGCTCCTACAGCGGTGAAAGGTCATACTACCATCTTCCCCCGAACATAACGCACCCTAAAAATGAATGTATACAAGTTGTATTTCCGCCCAGATACAGTCAAAATGATGGTGCGTTGTGTTCGGGGGAAGACGGTAGTTGGTTTGGAAGAACTTGGGCTCGGGCCGTTCGGCCCAGGGATGCCCGTTGGATTGTAAGAATTGGATCAGAGGGCAAGTTGGAATTTTGTTCTTGGCTGAAGCAAGGGTAGGCTATAGTGATTTAGCATTAGGAACAGGTAGGGAAAATGGCAAAGTTGAAGTTCCGGCTTAACAGAATATCCTAGGCAGGGGCGTAGTTTAGATTAGATCAGCTATGATGGAATTCAGTGTGGGGAAAACAGGTTTGGAAACTTCATGGGGAAGGAAAAACTTTTGCTTTCGGGATAGAAGTAGTTCCTTGGCGCTTTCGAGTAGCACAGTACCAGATACAAGGACACTCGGTTTTGTAGTCACAGGAGACTGGCAGTTTGTTTGAAACATGCAACGTAATATCTGGAACGGAGGTAGGAGTGTCTAAGGGGGCGGTCGCCCAGTAGTCCGTGTTTTGAGGCCTGCACACTACTGTAGTAGTTTTCAAGAAGCAAGATAGAAGAGCAGAGGGCTCAAGTGACACGAATCTCTACCCGCAGATACTGTTAAGCCACCAGTACCTGGCCCAGCTATCGGCCGCGGCGCTTCCCGTATACGCGCGGCGCCATTTGGGCTTCGGCCTGCCGGACCGCATTGGCTGGAGGCCGCAGGCAAAACGAAAAAGAAATTGCGACGGCGGTTCGGCAGGACTTGGCGCGCAGCGTGCTGGGAGGCTCGGATTCAATAGCTGAGCGAGGTACTGGTGGTTTAGCAGAACCTGAGATAGGATGAATTAAAGCTGGTCCCGGAACAGTTCGGGGGCCAGGTCCCACTAGCACGAATTAAGAGATAGAGACCGTAGATAGCCGAGATCGACGGCCGAAATCTCCTAATCCGTGCAAGTGGGACCTTGCCCCGAGTTGTTTGTTGTGGATTCCCGGCCTCAAAGTCGTTACTGCTTTGAAAAAAGGATTCTCTGCTTTTTCCTGCAACCAAAAAAAAAAAATAATAAAAAAAAAAAATTGGCAGGTCCAGCTCAGTCCCGACGGGCCATGCTAACGGTTGGAAAGCCTCGCTCCACTTCTCTAGAAATATGCAATATGAGAACGAATCCTCTGCTAGAACTTGGAAAGATACACTGCCATATTTTTTGTCTTTTGTCGAGAGTAGTGGAGGGATGCCCACTCACACAACTCCGGGGAAAAAATAAATAAATAAATAAAAATAAAAATAAAAAGAATTGACGCCCAGAAAGAGAAACACACCGCCGCCATGCTTTTTTTCGAGAGAGAGAAAAGAAAGGGAAAAAAAGCATGGCGGCGGTGTGTTTCTCTC